TCGCAGACGTCCAACATGTCCCCCCAGGGCGCACCCCTACCCTACCTACCTACCACTGTCCCCCAACTCCAATGGTACCGTAGTACGACCCCCATACCTATCACTATTATACCGTACCTTCAATCCTGCCCTACCTACCTACCACTGTACGGCACCTACCGCAGTACACGAGTTGCCGTCTTCCCCCGAATACAAGGTACCCTCACCATTGATGTATCTAGACACCAATTTGCCCCAATTACAGCAGCTATACCATAATAATAATAATAATAATAATAATAATAATAATAACCGTACGTTGTGTTCGGGTGAAGGCGTTAGCACCGTACACGGACCTTCTCTATCGTGCCGAACCTGCCACCGCACCGGGGCTACTGTCGTACATTTCGTCCGTACCTACCACCGTACCGGGCCTATCATCCTCCCGTACCTACCACCTACCTACTACCACACTACCGTACCTTCCACTACCTACCCACCGTGCTACTGTCGTACAGTTCGTACGTACGTACGCCCGTATCCAAATCTTCCGTCGCACCCTACCAACCAACCACTGTACGGTCCCTACCACACCGTCCTCTTCCATGAGGACGCTCTACAGCATTCATAGCAAAACACCACGAAAAATGGATCGTCTTCCTATCACACGAGGGTTTTTCTGGATGAATCTGAATCGCGTTTTATTCGGGCAAAAAGACCGTTATTCCCGCGCCCTCAAGAGCGAGCTTCATGTGAGTGAAAGAAAGCCAAACAAACGAAAACGAGAAAAAGGGAGGGAAAAAAAAGAAAACCGAGTACACATCATACACACCCATGCACACAAACAATCGTTGGAACGACAAGTTGGGCCTCGCCGCACCACTAACAAATATGCGAAATCTATGAAACAAGTGTGCGGTCGTCTTGAAAAAAAAAAAAAAAAAAAAAAGGGTGCGGTCGTCTTAAACCAGAACTTGCACAATATCGTCAAGTAGTAGCTGCTTTTGCTCAATTTGGCTCACAGATCTTGATGCTGCCACAAAGTTACAGCATGTATCTTTCGCAACAAGCTGGAAAGGTACAAGTTGGGCCTCGCCGCACCACTCACAAATATGCGAAATCTATGAAACAAGTGTGCGGTCGTCTTAAAAAAAAGAAAAAAAAAGAAAAAGAAAAGTGTGCGGTCGTCTTAAACCAGAACTTGCACAATATCGTCAAGTAGTAGCTGCTTTTGCTCAATTTGGCTCACAGATCTTGATGCTGCCACAAAGTTGCAGCATGTATCTTTCGCAACAAGCTGGAAAGGTGCATCCGTTATAGCTTTTGTCTTTTTCACATTGGATAAGTGATGCGGCAAGGCCGGTTTCGAATTCCCAATTGCACTCCGATGCAATTCAGAAAGAAAGATCGTCCTCATGCGAGTAATTATAATACATTGCTGTATGTGACAACCCCATTATCCCCCAGCGTATATTACTTAATATCATATCCCCTAGCGTATACTACTTAATATCAACTCCTAGCGGATATTACTTAATATCATCCCCCAGCTTATATATTGCTTGACTGCAATATCATCCCTTCTCAATTCGCCTTGCCTGCCTCAATCCTCTCTCTTCCCGAACGAGGAAGTTTCCTTCTTCCCGTCGGAAAGATTTAAAAACTTCAACTGAAAAACTTTCCTCGGCCTTTCCGAAAGATCGAGGAAGTTTCCTCTTCCACTCGGAAAAATTAAAAAACTTTCCTCGGCCTTTGCGAAAGATCGAGGAAGTTTCCTCTTCCACTCGGAAAATTCAAAAAACACTCTTCTCTTCCTTTCCGAAAGATCGAGGAAGTTTCTT